TCTATGGTCTACGGACAATCCTCCGGCGGCGTCCTTCCTATGGCATCCTAAGGCGACCGGTATCTGCAGCAGCGTTCACCGTCGGTCATATTGGATATGGTCGGACCAACTGCGATGTTAGTTCACTGAACCGAGATTATACACAGGTGGGTCAAGATGGAGAAAAAGAAGGGCAATAGAAAGGGCGGGCGTTCATTGTTTACCAACCGTTTTTTATATAAATAGTTCTCTTTTTCTTTTTTTTTTACATTCTTTTCCACTTTTACGTTTTTCAACAAAGATATAGAGAGAAAATTTGGAGAGGGAGACGTAAGTAGGGATCATACTTTTTCAGACATACGAGAGTAGATGAGGGAGCACGGTAATGTCAATTGACAAGGATCTATTTGACCCACTAGGCGTCTCAAAGAGAAAGAGAAGTGTGTAACAATAAGAATATAAGAAGTAATGTCCATCAAATACTATTCACTCGTCATGGCGGCAAAATCAAGGGCGAGAGAGAGAATGTTTGCGGGCAAACCTAAACGTCATAACCGCGAATTTACATTATTTGATTTTGTGCCTACAACTACGAAAACAAACAAACCCTTTTAATTTAAGGTTGCAGTGTCTTCTTTCTGCATGAATAAGTGAGTGTGTGTCAGTGTGAGTGAAAATGAGCTCACAAAGAACGATTTACAAACACGAAGATGAACATTCATATTAAAAATGGGAAAACTAGCTATGGCACCAATGCAGAATTATACCAACTGCGCCATTGAACTCAACAAATAATCATATGCAACGTAATGATGGACTTAATGAATGGTGACATGATTTTTTTCTTGGCAAGCTTCTCGCAACTCAAAGCTTCCCTGCTCTGAAATGTACTGCACAATCCATGATTCTGTTTAATCTTAAATTAGGATTCACTACAAAAGGTAACTATGTCTCGTTTGATGAAAGACTTTATCAACGGGTATTCCTATGCCCATATAACCGAACGATAATGAAGCGAAGTGAATAACGAGATAGCAACAATCCATAAATTACCCGCTCTCCTCTACGAATCTGTGATGGGTGCTCGCGACAGCGCTGTCTAACCGATATCTAATTATGACGAATCAGATAATCACCTAGCATTTTACTTCAAATCTGCTAGCGACTTTCATGACAGTGAAACAATTAATAAGCGAATAATGATTCTATCCTTAAACCCTAGTCACGCGATCTCGAATAACAGGTGTCGGACGAGGGACACATAACTTTACTATTTGCCTTCTATCGTTGCTTGGAGTTTCAAGGAGATTAATTAGTTTACGCAACCCTAGGTTATATCTAGGATCTCTTTGTTCTACGATATGGGGAAGATGTTAATGCTAAATTCATTGTATAATTAATTGAAAGGGTAAAACAAGTGAATTTTCAAACAATTTGTCAACGAAACGTAAGAGAAAAGAGTAGAATGAAAGAATATCATGAAGTTAATATTAAAAATCTCAATTTAATTCACAAAAGGAAAAACCATTACTAATGCAATGAATTCGTTGTAGTTTAAACAGTATAATTATCTAAAACAAGATAGATAAATAATTTACATAGTGGACGATAATTCTATGGTAGTTTACCAGAGATGGCAATACCGCGTCTTCTGACAGTAATGAAACTATAGGTCAATAAGTGAGAAGGAGAATGTTGCCATTTCGTGTCATAGTAAGACAAGAATTTACCACAGTTACACTTTTACCGAGCACAATGTGGGAGTGACTGTACATATATTTTATGTACTCGTGCACTCACGAAATTTGGAAGGCATGGCTAGTGAATCTTGGGAGCGTTGATTCACACGCTCATGAACACAAAAGGTAATGTAAATGGGGGAGGGAGAGAGGGAAAAGGGTGGGAGAGAGACTGCATAATGAGTTGTGACAGAAACAACATAAAATTTTGTCCTTACATGTTTATAATTGAAATTGTGTAAGCCTACAAACTACATATTGGATCATGCATATAAAAGTAAAATATTTTATAAAGAACATACAGCATAAATCCAAGAAATCACTACCAGTCAAGAAAATAAAACACTTGTACAAATTTAAAACTAAAATCTAAGCAACATGGTTTCCACACTAAGAAAAACAAAACAAAAAGCAAAACAGAAATCAAAGGTAAACATAAAGGAACATGCACACTCATAAGAAAGGAAAATATTTGGACAATTACGAAAACTGCATGATTTACACATGACAAAATAAACACAAATAGACAAAAATTATAAAACGTTGCTTGAGAGATAAAAAATGTAGATACAATAAAAAAATATACACCGTAACACAAAACAAAAAGCGTTCAAAAGGGGCAAATAAATCTGTAAAAAATATGTATATATATGTATATATAGCAATAAATGAAATTTACGTGTCGTAATACAAGTGAAGGAGAATTCTTGTACAGTGCGCATTCCCAAAATAAATGAAGAGTTAAAGATTTGATATTTCTGTATCTTTGCTTTTCTTTAGAC